ATGTATCCTCTTCTAACATGCCTTGCTGGGAAAGAGTGAATAAAGAAAGAATCGCCATTTAAACACAAATATGGCTCTTTCAAAATTAGTTGGAAGGCTCTGTGGTCTTTGCATGACCCTGATGGTGAAAGTCGCATCCAGTCAGAGTCTTTGAGGTCTGGAGGAGTCCTGGCCCTTAGCTCTTCCCAATTGCGCCTGTGACCTTTCTCTAAGGAGGAGCCAAATAGACTCATTTAGCGCAGGCCCTTTGCGCAGTCTTCTCTGAACCAAATACCCACTTACAGAGCGCGGATTAAGGGAGCAGGCAGCCTGTGGCAGGGAACCAGGGACTTAGGGTGAGGGCACCCTTTGCAACAATCCAATGGCCTTGGTTAAAAGGCACAATCCGCGCGTCAGAGAAATCTCCCAGCTCTCAAGCAAGGGAGCTCCGAGGCCAGCGGAGCCGAGGCCTGAGCCCACGGACTAGCGCGCTCTGAGGGGTGCGGGGTCTCCAGGGACAAGAGTAGCAGAGGGTCAGGGCTCACCGGGCGGGGCAGCCCGACAGGTACGGAATTACTGTACCGGAGGGTCTGGGAGTGGGCCATCCAGATAAGGGGGCTGGAGACTAGTCTCAAAGCTGCTTTCGCAGATGAGGCCTTTTGTATGGCGTGTGTGTTTGCTTAAGGGGCTGATGGACATTAGTAGAAGCCACCTATTGGCACTAACGAGCAAAGCGTCTGCCAAGGGGGCGAAACCACGCGATGGGCACCTCAGAGAGGGCAGGGAGGCTTGGTGCCCTGGAGGGCAGTGCCTGGGCGAGTAGTCGAAAGGAGGTGGGACGCTTCCCTGCGATCCCCAGTCTCCGCCTTTCTGCCCGGTGCCCCTCCGCCCTACTTCCCGCCCGAGCGCTGGCTTCTCACTCGGACCCAAACCCAGTCAGTTAGCTTTCCCTCTTCCTTTCCGCAAATCCCGAACCCCCTCCTCCCCTCCTTCCCCCGCGGCTCCTCTCCCTTCTGCCGCCTGAAAGGGTTAATCTCTCCTGCGGGTAAAAACAGGTCCGCGGAGTCTCTAACTGGCGACAGATGGGCCACTTTCTTCTGGCCACAAAGGGGCCGGAATGGAGCGCTCGGCGGCATACAAATGGGCAGGTCACGTGGTTCCCGGCTCCTGGCCGGACTGGAGGGACCATATGGCGCAT